GTATCACCAAGAGAATTTTACATAGTCGGCGAAACGTTTTTCGAAGATATCTCGTGATCCACAAGGCCGATTTTGACGATTAAACCACCATTAGATTCCTCTCAACGAGCTCTACAACTTCAATTAGAAGCCAAAAGGTGGTTAACTTAGTATAAAAAAAGTTTTAGAATGATGCAGCCTATATTCGCAAAACCCTAATTTTTATAAGTAAACTACGTCATGTTATACTATGACCTCTTACTGGCTGACTGGTGAATCACCAATTAATAATAAAACTTACTTAAAGTAAATATAACCAAACTTGTTTTGCAATTGCATTATTTGAAATCATATTTTGAATAACTGTTTTTATTTCGTCATAATTACCAATCCGAGCTTGATCAAGTAAAAAAGTAGACCCAATAACATATCCAAGATTTGTACAATAACTAAGATAAGGATAAAGCTTGGTATTATCAGTTATTGCAATGACTGGTCCATTATAGTTCATAGAATCTGCTAATCTTTTGAAGCATGTTATATTTTCTAAACATATACTTGTATCTGATATATACACTTCAGATTTTTAATACAAAAGTCTGCACAAAAAATAATTTTAAAGATAGTTATAAAATTATATATTATATAATCTATTTTTTACTTAAAAGTTTTTTATATATTGAATAAAGTAATAATTTGATACCTAATATTTTGTAATATTTGTTATGCTAAATTCGTTCGAAAAAAATCATAGGCTTTTGGACTTAGACTAGAAAGTATAACCATAAAATTGGTAATCTCTTTATAATATTTCATATTTTAAACATCTTTATTATAATCTTTGTATTGGGCTATTTCCACCATAATTTCATATAGTTCTTTAAATGTGAATTTTGATTCAAATACTCTGTTTAAACCCTTTTCAGCTAATTTTAACCAAAATAATACTGTATTATTTTCATTAAAATAAGAAACTGAAGTCCAAAGCTCTTTTATATCTAAATTTTCAAGAAATTTTAAAAGCAGATTGCTTTTAAAATATGATTTGGGTATATAATATTGATTTTCTGATTTGGATATAGATTTAGAAAGAGCATTCTAAAAGAAATATTCAGTATTATTATAAAAATCATATCAAAAAAAAAATCAAAATAATCCAATTTTATCTTAAAAACCTGATCTTTTGTTAGTAAAAAATATTTTGCACACACTTGCCCAATTTGATTGATATAGGTTTTATATTCTGAACTATATATACAGATCTATTTTTTATTTAGATCTTGCTGATAATTCATCATTAAGTTTTTTAGATTGATTAGAGCTAAGCTTAGAGTAAGAAAATTTTGTTTATTCTGTAAACTTGAGTAGAAAAAGTTCTTGTGCTAATTTTTTTATGGGTAGAGCTCTACTGAAAAGTGTAAAACTACCAATTCATTCAATATATTTGAGATATTTTTCTCTATGTAAACCGGAACATAAATACCTTTTATGCAATAGGTTTTCCTAAGTACTAGCAAGTGAAAAAAATTCTCTTAAATCTTAAAACTCTTTGCTTTTGATGCATTTTCTATTAGATACGTGAGATTTAATTTGTGATTTGTCAAAATTTCTTTTTAGCTTAATAGGTTTTTTGCAATATTTATATCATACACATAATAGACTCAAAATTTCAAGTACATTTGGATAACTGGCTAGTTCTGTCTGCTAATAAACACAAAACTAGTTAGAGTTATATCAATATTAATATGTATATATAAATAATACATAGAGTTCTTGCAATAAAAAAACTGAAATTCTATATATTCTTTTTTATTGCAAAAGCTTTATATATGTTATTAATTAAAATTTTTATATTATACCTTTTTTAGAATGGTTTTTGAGTTCATTTTATAATTTTGGTTTTTTTTAAATATATTAGAAACAACTAATTTATCATTTGAATATTCATTATCTGTTGTTTTATAGTTATCAGAAACTTCATAATTGTTGGCTTCATAATTGTTAGACACTTCATATTCATTGAATAATTTATCAATATCTGATAGCTCACTATCAAACTATGGAAATTTGTTTGAAATAAGTAGCAAATCTAAATCTATTAATAAGCCTTGATCTTTACAGATCATCTTGACAATGTATCTTGGCAGGGTGTTTTGGCAGAGTGTCTTGACAAGACTTCTTGGAAGAGCGTCTTGACAGAGCTCTTTGGCAGGTTAGTTTGATAGAGCATTTTTAGCAAAGAGAAACTTCTGTCTTAATAAATTTTTAATCACAGCAAAGCCTTTGCTTATAGTAAAACTTTTGACTATACAAATTTTAATTTATTTTTTTTCTTTTATTATTTTTTTTTTCTTTTATTTTTCTTATTTTTTTTTTTTATCCTTTTTTGTTCTTTTCTTTTTTTATCTGCTATAACAAAGCACCAAACTATAGTGAAGCTTTTGAATATAAAAGCTTTTACCACAGGTTTTTTCTGACTATAACAAACTTCGAACCAGAATAAATTTTTAACTATAAAATTTTGATTACAAACGAAGCTAAATTTATTAATTTCCCTACCACTTCTGATTGGTTCTACTAGTGCATCCCAAAGTATAAGCAAGTACTGATTAGGGTGGGGAACGGGCCAGGCTAAACCCAGAAATTTGCGGCCAGGCTGGGCTTGGGCCTAATTTGGGCCTAAATTTTTGGGCCTGTTAATATTTAGGCCAGGCCTAGGTTGGGCTCGCTAAAATACTGGGCTGGGCTCGGGCTTTATAATCAGGCCTGATTAGGCCCAATGAGTCTATATCAAAAACGTATTGAAATGAAGTGTATGGTTTCCAGCCAACTAACTGTGTACAAAATCTTGGTATTATTGGGAGCATGATCTTGTCATGTGAAAAATTATTTTATAAAGATTTACAAGTTTTTTAACTTGTATTAATCTGGTACGTATTACTCTAAATGGACTTAAAAGGTTATTAATTTGAGAAATCAGAATATTTTAAATACAATTGAGAAAATTACATTTATATTACGTATGTATGTACAAGATTCTATTGCTATTGAGTTTTACATTAATATTTATGCTAATGCTAATGCCAACTTTTTTCAGTAATTAATTTAGATCATGTCTAAAATTTAAAATACTGTATACAGGTTATACTTTACTACTACGTATTGACAATCGATTTGAGTAGCATTATTTATTAGCAGACATCTAAACTTAGTTCTGTAAATCGATCTAGAGATGGATAGACTTGGTTCAACAGAAATGTTATACTATAGTCTGTTTGAAACTGATAAACTACAGTTAGCTTTAAAACCGAGCTGTACCTGAAAAAACTGCTTTTAGTTTAAGACTAGACTGGCTAGGACTAGCCCAAACCAGTTAATTCTTTAAGATTTTGAACTATTAAAAGTAAACCAGAATTGGACTAGCAGGACCCCACGATTCAATCTGCTTTGGTCTTTTTATAGCAATTTTTTATTAGTGAAACTCACTAATTAATTTATATCAGTCAATCAGACATTCTATAAAATAATTTAATAGGCTGAGCTGGGCCTAATTTTAAAGTGAGCCTGGCCTGGTCCACTGCTGCAGGCTTTTTTTTTTTATGGGCTGGGCTTGGGCCCAAAAATATTTTTTAGGTTTGGGTTTGGGCCCAGTAAAGCCTAGCCCAGCCCGACCCATCCCCCACCCTAGTACTGATTAAGTATTTATTAACTACTATAAAAATATTTATTGTAAGTACTTATTAAATCAATTTCAACATACCTTATATTTAAGAAGTATTAGCGTTAGGCTAGCAATTATTTATCGCAAATATTATTTTAATACTATAATAAAATATAATTTTATTATTTATATTAAATATTTATAAAATACTTATTTACAATATTAATTTTATATTAAATAAAAATACTTAATTTGAACGCAAGAAATCTTGAAAATGCATAGCGTCTAAGACAGCATATTAATTTAGCTACAAACAAAAGATGTGACCAACTACTTACTAACCCAACAAAAATGATAAACAG